CAGGACCGTCGAGTTACCAGCAGCGTGCAGCCGTATCCAGTCCAGTACGGCGCAAGCGAGTATTATCCCGCCGCGGCCCAACCTGTCGCCGTGGACCGCTACGATCGCGAGCCCCAACGTGTTTACCGCGACGCCTACGAGGTGCCTCGCATGAGTGCACGGCCAGAGGTTGGCCGAGCCAGATCGCGGTCACCACTGATGCGAGAGCGCGCATCACCGCTCATGGCTCCACCGGCCGCCCGCGTAGTAATCGACGCATCCGGCCGGCATTACTACGAGCCGCAGCCTCCTGCTCCCGCGGTGCGTCAGTCAGTACCACCGCCACCCATGAGGATGGACGACGCGGAGGTCCTCTACGAGCGGCCTTTGCGAGCCGAGTCTCGCCGACCAATGGAATATGAAGAAAATGGCGTTGTGTACCGCCGGGTTTCGCCGACCTATGCTCCACGCAGAGTGGTTACGCAGCCGGAGTACGCTACTGATCCCCACAGGGCCTACCGGCAGCGCGAGTATTCATCTCGTCCCATGCCGCCCCCGCCACTGGAGCAGTATGTCCAGGTCAGGAGCGGCCCGGGTCAAGAGAGGGGCCCCGCCGAGGGGGCGCCACGGGAGTACGCGATGCGTGCAACCACGGCCCGGCCTGCGGAGCCGGTCCGCTACGAGATGCCAACCGAGTATGGAAGGGTGCAGACCGTCAGACCCGACTTGCCTGCCCACCCAAGCTATCCTCCCGCCGGAGCGCATCGTGAGATGATGCACCCTCCCCTGCCTCGCGCCTACAGCATGCGGCCTGCCGAGTCGGGTGCCCCGCGGCGGGAATTCAGTGCCCGCCCCGTCGAGACCTACTACGGACATGCTACCCGCGGCGACGAGGGCGTTGCCTACATCGAGCGGCCTCCTGGTGCTCCTCAGGATCTGGCTTACAGCAGCGAGCCTCACAGGGAGATCTATCGTTGAGAATAAGCGGGGAAGCCAGTATGGGTGCAGGCCAGATGCGGATAGGGCCAGCAACTTGTACTTCGGTGCGTGTCCGGATTCACGCTCCCAACAATGGCTGGATATCAATCACGAAGGATGGAGAGGAGAGCTTGTGGAGCATGAACATCAAGACACGCTACTGTCAAGCGGATGATACCGTGACATGGCTGAGCAAACTTGTACCATGTACTACCTGTGTAAAGCAATACCAGTGTTCCGGCCCGCATGGTCGACAGCATAATCAATCAATGAGCCCGTTTCCAAACGCATTCGTACTGTGAGCGTGATATTGTTGCACAGGTGCCTGAAGGGCCAAAGCGTAGCGGATACCTCGTACAGAGTTCGGGACAGAGCACGTGAGCGGCCCTCCGTGAGCGTCTCGCAGTCGACGGGAGTCTGGTCATGATCTCGAGCCGCCGGCCTTGCGAAGACGGACACAGGGCGGCGTCATACGTTCGATGCATCATGTGTCTGGGGACGGTATACATTGGTCGTCTCTCGTCCATTGAAAGAGGTGGTGTTTGCTGCTTTACGAGTTTCGGATGGAGACATTCGCTGCCGAAAGCGCGACAGGTCTGACAGGTGTGTGGGTGGGTTTGAAACCCCCACCCCCTTGGCCCGCCCCTTTCCCCTTTCCGATGCTCGACTGTAAGTACCTACATGTACGTACTTACAAATGAAGGGTCGTGTTGGCAGTATGCCGGTGAAAAGTGAGCAGATGAGAGAGACGTAGGGAGACAGGGATTGGAGGGGAGGGGTGGCATTGCTCACGGACCCAACGTCAGCGGCATTGCGGTGTCATTTCGCAGGCCGAATATACATGGTAGGGAACTACAGGAAGAGACTGCGACCCGAATAGATGGTTAGAACGAGGGTGGATAGGATCTTCCCAGCGGATGAGCGATCTCGGCGAACGCGCGACTGCCGCCAGGGGCTCAGGGGGTATGCTTTCTCCCCCAGCTTGAGAGCCTCACGGCGCGCGCCGAGACACGTATCCATGGTAGGAATAACTTTTTCTGTAAAGGCTGGGAGCTACTCCAGTACATGGTACATGGTACCTAGTATGCAAGGCATTGGAAGGAGAAGCGACGGATCGTCAGGGTCGTCGGCCACAGAGCCCAGCAAGGGAGAAATAGTGGACGAACATTTGCCCCAGTCGAGGGCGGCCATTCGAGTCGCGGCGCAACAGATTGAGACGGACCGGCAAGCCTGGGCCCCGCAGATCGGATGCGGTTGAAACCTTGTCTTGGCCCGACGTTTCAATGATGAGGATTTTAGTTCGTCTGTCCAATGCTTTCCCATCACGTCTGCTTTTTATCATGTCAAGCAGGAATGCCATCGGAGGACCCTGCAAGACCAGGAGGCAAGGGGCCCAGCATATGCTCGGGGGAGGTTGGCGATGGGGCCGTCTCCCGCTGAGGGCTCGTCGGTAAGGGTATCAGCCCTATTGCGGCGTACTCGACCAGATTTCATGGGAATCTAGGTTATCGAAGCTGTCGTTGATGTGGACAAGCGTGGGCCCTCTCGTCTTCAGTATTTGCCATGCTGCAGTGCCATGGCTTTCTACTTCTGCCCAAGCCGGCTGCCTCCTCACCAGCAGGTCGACCAAACCACATGGTGCCTGTCGGTAATTCTCAATGCCTGAGCAGTTGGCCAGTGCCTTTCGTCGGGGTTGATGAGATGCCAGATTGTCAGGAAACACATGCGTCGTGTAGCCATGCCCTAGAACGACGGTGCTACAGGGATGCATGCTATCATAGGGAACCTGGGGCTTCCCGGAGGCTTGGGATGGGCTCGTCATGAGATCCCACAGGGAGATTGTGTCTGCGTCAGCTGGTGTTCATTTGTGGCTCGCTCGAGGCTGGCAAAAAACCTGACGGGGACGAATGGTAGGGCATTCCAGGCTACCAGGGTTTGATGACTACGAGTGTGTGTGTGTGTGTTGCGTGTTGCGTGTTCCGTCGTATGTGGTGTGTGGTGTGGTAGTGTCGGGTCGGAAGCCTGACAGTGATAGCGCAGGGCAGTGCAGCGGGGGGCGGCACTGATGGCGTAGGGAGCATGCCCAGGTCGTAGGCAAGCCGTTCGCTGGGTACGAGGTCTCGAACAGCTTCCAGAGTCGGAGACTGGCTTGCTCGCGTTCCGCCCCCCCCCCCTACTGCAATCTAGGCCCACAAGCAAGCGGTGCGGAGAGGAGGAGGAATCACGTCAGTCGTTGGAGCCGGTGGAGAGTCAAAGGGGGGTTTGTTTCCCTCTGGAATCGCTTCGAATATCGTAAGACTTGGTGACGGAATTGATGCTCGCCGCGATGCCGAGATGGAGGCTGCATTCGACCCTGGCTTGAGAGTCGAACCCATCATGGAGCCGCATTGACCAATGTCTTCCGAGTGTGTGTGTTTGGATTCGAAGAAACGTCCGAATACTCAGACTACACGCGTCTGTCCGCCCCCCCTCATGTCTAGACAACATCTGGCCTGGTGGACGCCCAAGACGCCGTGGGAGCTTCCAAGGTTTGGAGGAAGCTGGCACGGCTGGCACACGGGGGCCGAATATGGCTAGTGTGGTTGACACTGACGTGCCAGTGCGTCGCGCCTCCTCGTCTGCTCAGTTTGAGCTACGTCCAGCGTTTCTTGCTTCTCCGCATTCCTGGACAGATTGTTCCGTTCAGCTGTTGAGCAAGTGTCACGTCTTTGTGCTCTCGTCGTGTGTGTCATTGAGAGTGATGCTACGCTGAGTGCAAGCCGTGGCTTGTCCTGCATTCGAGAGGCATCCGTACCTGTTGCTTCGTATCGCATGCCGGGACTGTCTCTGCGCGAAGACGATCTCTGAGCTGATAGAAGTGAATGGAAATATGACGCTGCTGGGGCCCGCAACAAAACGGTCGAGAGCTTTGGGCAGGCTAATACTTGTACAAGTAAACACCAGGATGTATCGGCGCAGTCATGTGTACTATGTACCGCAACATGCACCGTCATGCTGTTATGGATCGTCGGCCGGCTGTGGGCTGTGGGCTGTGGGCTGTGGCCCAGCGGTCCCGCTTGAATCTCATTGGAGCTTCTCGGTGAAGACCTCCCATGCCTGTACCTGCTCAGCCACTCTGGATGCGTGAGATACCCATCGGCCAAGTCCTCCATCGGGATCCACAGTTTGGCCCTTACCCTGGCCCAGCCTGACCCGCTTGGCCCCAACGTGCTCCGTGCCCTCCGAGTCCCGTGCCTGTGGATCATGCCAGTGGCCCAGCGCAGGCTACCTGAGCCCTGGACTCGCCTGGAGGGGAGAGGGGGGGGGCCTGCGGCCGCTGGAGCTTGCCTGTTCCTCCCCACTGAACTTGCTGAGGTTTCGAGTGGCCCAGCGCCTGAAGGTTATGTTGTGTGGTACCTAGCACCTGCACCTCGACGTCTCTGGCCTGGTGCCGTTTGGCGGATGGCCTGTCTGTCTGCCCGGCTCTCTACTCTACCTGGGCACCTACCTAGGTACCTACCTGGCCTGCCTTGCCTTACTCACCACTAAGGTAAGGTACTTACCTATCTCACCTACCTACCTACCTTACCTAGGTGCCTGCTCTCTAGCCTGGCCTGGCCCTGCGAGTCTCAGCCCAGGTCTGGTCCGCAACTCTCTTCCTTCCACTCCTCCACAACTTGCACCTCAACACGCTCTCGACTGCCTCTTCCCACCCACCCTCTTTACTCCCTTTTCCCCCTCCGTCTCCCCCCTCCCCTCAAAGAGGATACCCACGAGTGCGAGAGACGCTGGAAGGAGTACGAACTCGACGTCTTTATTCTCTTCTTTTTACTCTTTCCCCCCCTTTCCTTGAACCCCCAACCCACTGTTCTATCTATCTACCCTTGCCAGATACCCGAGCATCGGCGGCTCTCGACCATCAACGTCCAGCTTCGACTTGACTGTACCAGCACCCGGTACAGCATCGGCACCCAATCTCCCATCTCCTTCGGTCTTCTTCGCCAACGGCTCAGGATCTCGAACGATACCCCCGAAACACCCCCGTCCCATGGTGTCTGCTCATCATGAATAAGCTGGCAAACATGCGTCACTGGTCCGAGAGGATGAGCCCCAACTTCGGCATGGGTCGTCCCAACATGCCCGTCAATCCAATGAACCCGAGACGAGACACAATGTCCCAGCAAGCTGCTTCGATCGCTATGCAGCAGCCTCTAGAACGCCCCAAGCCCCATCGTTCACTATGCCTTCAATGTGCCGTTCGGGTCCGACCTCGCCGGCCCCAATACTGAAGACATCCTCCATTCCACCAAGGACGCCGTCATGCGATGGACGCACTCGGTCGACGCCCCTGACGATGTCCAGGTCCACGAGCTTCCCGTTCACACCCAGAACCTCGCTCACCTACGCAAGACGTGCAAGGACATCACCAGCGGCCCCTTCAGCATTGAGGCACACGTCGTCTCCACGACCCCCAAGAATGCCAAGGGCAGTCAGGTCACCACCGTCTGCCTGTCAGGAAGCCAGGAAATGGTCCAAAAGACCAGGGAGATGATTTTGAATGATAACCAGACCTTCTTGGTATGCCCTTCCCTCCGCACCAACATCTCATCGCCTCTCTCGCCCCCATGCATCTCCCCATGGCTAACCCCGGCCGTTTGAAGCGCTGTACCACCGTCGATGTCGAGGGTGAGCTGGTCTGCGATCTGGCCGCCGCCACCCCCGTCTTGAAACCCCAGGTTATGACCACACTCGACGGCATCTCCGAATACTGTGGAGTCGACATTTTCCTTCTCGGCCCAAAGCTCACTCCCGTCGTGGACGGCATGACGGGCGACGCTGAGATGCGTCGCGACCAGCGCTGGAGAGTCGCCATTTACGGTGACATCCTCTCCGTTGACCATGCCAAGACCCGCGTGCTGATCCACATTGACACGCTCGTAAGTTTGTGATGCCGTGTTGTACTGCCCATGGGACTAATCGATGCATGCTAGCTCGGTCGTCTCGTTGACGCTCTCAAACTCGACATGACCCTTCATCAAGTGGTGTGCGGCCGCCAGCGGAAGAATATCAAGCTCATCGAGTCTTCTACGGGTACTGCCATCTACTTCCCGTCGCCCTTTTCGCAGATGTACCGATACTGTCCCCCGAATGCCAAACGACGCGATCCCAACGACATCCTCATCACCGGTGAAACGCCCCAGGCGATCGAACTGGCCAAGCAGAAGATCCATGAAACCGTAACACGCACTCGCCTGTACATGAAGGATGTGAACATTCCCGCGGCCAAGATTGACAGTGTTCTGCTCAACCGCATGGACAAGGTGCGCAAGATTCTGGAGGCCAACGGCACCTACGTTCTCTTCCCTGTCCTTGCTACAGGCAAGAACATGGTCAGAGTACAGGGCAACGAGGGCCTGCACGTTGAGCGCACTGTTCGCGAAATCATGTCGCTGGTAGGTTCAACTTCATATACGCTACCACTGCTTGCAAGTTTCTGACATGGGACAGGCTGGTCAATTCTACAGTGCTTCCTGGTTCTTGTTGGCTCCCGAGGGTCACCAGATGCCTCCTCAGGCTCGTCAGCTTCCCAGCCCGACTGACATTCGCACCATGATTGGCGATGTCTGCGCCAATTCGGATGCTGATGTCTCGTTCGACAACAACTTTCAAATGACTGGCTCGGATGATGCCGTCAAGACTGCGCTCATGGTCATGTCGGATATTCGATTCCTCGTGCAAGGCAACCATCAACTTCGCGTCAAAATCGAACTCGCCAACGAGCACCGAGAATTTGTCAGTGGAAAGAAGAACGGCAAGATCAACAAGATCATGAGCCAGAGCAACGTCACCATCATCTTCGACGGCTTCAACGACTACAACTTCAATATCGATGTTGGAGCTGCAAGCTATGACGCCATGAAACAAGGCCTCGCCCTCGTCGAGCAGGAGATGCCGGCTTCGATCTCGTTCCACGTCCCTGATCAGTACCACAAGCGCATCATCGGCATCGGCGGTCAGCACATCCAGAGCATCATGAAGAAGCACTCCGTTTTCGTCAAGTTCTCCAACGCCATGGATCGAGGCGGCATGGGCCGGGAGGATGACGACATTAAGGTTGACAACGTTATTTGCCGGACTCCCGCGCGTAACGCACAGAACCTAGACGCCGTGAAGAACGAGATCCTGGAGATGGTCGATCGAGCTGTAAGTCACAAAATATTATGAACTGCGGGGGACTTGTCTAACACGTCGGCAGGATTCCGAGTACACCTCGCAGATCGTCAACGTCGATCGCCTGTACCACCGCCAGCTTCTAGCCCGCCTCGCTGAGATTGACGAGTTGGAGAGCAAGTACAACTGCAAGATTGTGTTCCCAAGCACTGAGCAGGCCAGCGATGAGGTGACCGTGAACGGGCCTCAGTGGCAGGTGCCTCATTGCGTCGACGAGTTCCTTGTAAGTCCGCCATCGTCCCATGTCCAAGAAGCAGAAATTGCATGCTGACACGTTGGAAGGGCATGGTTCCTGACAACCACGAGCTCGTCTTGACTCGCACGCCTGAGCTCGTCAAGTTCCTCGAGTCGCCGGCATTTATCCGAGACCTTGTGTCCAAGCTGAAGAACCAGTACGAGGTCGAAGTCTCTGTTCATCAGGACTCCGAGGAGCTTGCTCCCGACGGCTCGTCCGCCCTCGCTCTGCGCTGGACATTCACCCGGAACAACGCAGGTGGTCTTGGTGATGCAGTCGACTTTATGCTTGCCGAGCTGACTGGCGCAGGTGTCGAGGTTACGATCCTGAAGGGCTCCATCCCTCGACCCAAGTCAGATTCTTTCGAGGACTCTCTCCAGTACTTCGATTCAAAGCTCCTGCAGCATGCCCCCGCACCCATTGCTGCCGACTCGCCCGTCAAGGCCGCTTTCGAAGGCGAGGTGGCCCGCGAGCGCAGTACCATCTTCGATAAACTCCGCAAGCCTGGAAGCATGACCTCCATTTCTTCCTTCCTGGACCGTCGCAAGAACAGCTCTCACTCCAACCACGCCAACTTTTTCAAGGGCTCCAGCAACGTGTCCAAGTCGTCTCTTATTTCGATTGAGTCCACTCGCAGTTTTAATGCCGATCGCAACCCTTGGAACGATAGCGGCGTTAATCTGAACGAGGAGGATCACCCCTGGGCTCACCGCCCTCTTGGCAACGGCACCGACAAGCTTACGCCTATGCCTCACCCCGGTGACGTGACGCCCCGTCACAGCACTCGTGCGTCCGGCGACAGCGGTCGCCCTTCTACGTCTCATTCTACGAATTCTGGATACCCCGGTCCTGTTGGACCTTTCCGTTAGATTCCCGTCTTTAGAAACTCTCGCGAAAAATACCCCGGCTGGATATACCCTGGCGTACAATACCCCGGAACGTCTCTTCTGAAGCAGCAGTCGGCTCAGTTCTGTCATTCATCCCGAGGTTTTGTCCGTTCACGTCTTTTTCTTGCTTTTTTCAGTAATTTCCTTGAACGCATGTGTACGCCTTGTTGGGGACCCTACGGGGTTCCTTCTTCTCTGTCTCCTACGACTTACGTACACTCTTTATACCCCTGACGCCGAATACGAGGCTAAAAAAACAAAACATGATGGATGGTTTTCGCTCCACGGATTGGAGCGCGGGAGGCTGGGACACGGGCGGTGGTCGGAGCGGTATTGCAGGACCATGTGACGACTCGCTGCACCCTCGCTACTCATTTGGCATCCGAGGTTGCCAGAAGGGGGTACAGGGTTAGTGGAGTTGAGAAAAGTTTCAGGGCCTGACGGGCGGCCGTTTGGAGGCTGCCCAGACAACAATTGGCGCTATTTGCGGTGTTGGGAGTGCTGGGCGAGACTGGAACAATAGGGTCAAGCGTACGGAAGCTCGCCGAAGCCTCAGTTGGCCTTGATATGCAATGATACCCCTTTCAGTCTTCCACTTGATTTTCTGTACCATGCCGTCGAGAGCGTACCGTTGAACCCATGATTGCAGGCTCGGGGCTGAAACCAGGCCGGCCGGAGAAGCATCATTTGACAAGGTCGCCATACAATTTTTTACACTGAGATGATACAGTTAGTCCACGCAACTGTACAAGAGAGAGGGCAGACGGAGCCAGGACGCCATCCATGGTGGACTGTCTACACAGATCTTCACTAGTCACTCAGCACAACACAAGCTCGGGGATCATTGTCATGATATAGCACAATGCTACTCAATTCACTACCTCAAGCTCTTGGCCTGAACGCAAGCGCCACACGATCACGAACCTCCCCCTTGCCTTACGAGCTATCCAGGTCTGCGCCATTGACGATGCGCTGCTTCCGGCGCAGGAGGGCCGCCTTGCGCTCGCAGCAGTGGGTACGACGATCCGGCAGGGGCGACGGGGATCGCTCCGAGGGCCGCTTTCCGTACATCGAGTCATCCCTGCTAATCCAGTCCGAGTACGAAATGGCTTCTGAATCGTAATCGCTGCTGGAGGGGCTGCTGGAGAGCGATGGAGAGTTGTTGCCGCCCGCCGTGGCGAGCATGCTGCCGCCGAGCGTTTCCTTGTCCGTGGCAGCACTGAGGGCCGGGTACCCGTCACTGCTGTCGTCGACCGGTGGGCGCTGCAGGGGGTCCGCGATGCCCTCCTGAGCCGAGTTCTGCGTCTTCTGAAGGAGGTTCTCTGATCCCTCGAGTTGCTCTGGTCGCATAGGGGCGCCCGTCTCGATGACCTCCGTGCCAGTAAAAGCATCTCGGACAAGGCTGCTTATGTCCTGGGTGAAGCATCCGGCGGCGTTCTTGAGAGTCTCACCTCCGGGCAGGCGAGAAAGACGCTGCGCGAGATGTGCGTGGTTAATGCTAGGCTTGCGTAGGGCGTGACCGTCGTCATTCCTGGTACTGAGGTTGCTGTCCTCTGGCGAAGAGTTGCTTCGCTCAAGTTTGTCCATGGGTTGCCGTGAAGTCTCCATATGTATCGCTGTGAGGGCTTCTAGGTGTTCGAGCCGCTGATGGACCAGCTCGAGGCGGTCGTAGATAGCCCGGAGTAAGTCCTCATGGTATTGGTCCGTCTCGCGAAGTGAGGTGATGGTGTACTTAGTCATGTGGATCAGATGGTACAGCGAGAGCAGTGTCAGTGTTTGTTTGGCAAGTCTCAACCAAAAGTAAGGACGTGCTGCGTATGAATTCTACAGACAGTCAGTGTGCTGCGTCTAATTATATGGCTTATGGAGTGGGTATCTCCTACACGGCACGCATCTGACTTTTTAAGTTTGCGCAATGAAGCAAGAATATTGGGCAAGCTGCATGTAGTCCCAAGGAGTAAGCAGTAGCCGTCCTTAATTCGAGTTGTTACACTTTGAGATCCCTGGATAGTCTAACGCCTACATGGCCATCTAGCCTGAGTATGCAAGAACCTGGACAGCTTCATCGCAGTGTTGAGAGGCCGCGCTCGGCGTAGTCAATAACTGCTCCATCGCGATCCCTGGTTTGTAACTGACGATATATAGAATTAGTCGAGTTGGGTAGGTGTCAGCCTGAGACAGGCAAGCTTCTGAGGGTCGACATAACAGAAGGGTATCAGGAAGCAAGCGGCCCAACGGAAACGCGCTCTCTTAGCTTAAGGACCTCCCGTTGATCTGCACGTTGGCTTTCGCGCAGAGCTCGCCGCTTCTGCACCTCCAAGCTGGCGAACCTCCCCTTCGCACCGTGTTTGATCTTGGTAATCATGTCAGTGGCCTGACCTTTCGTGATTTCGCCTTCGGCGAGCGGCTCATCCTTCGGCCGCATCTTGTTCAAGAAATCGATCTGCCCCTGCGTTGGCGGCTTCTTGCGCCAGCTCTGATAGCGGTGGATGAAAACGTGCGGGAACGCCTCGGAGGCATACTTATCGCTGCCATGAACAGCATCAGCGAAGGTTGTAGCCTGGAGAAGTTCCCGCGGGGCCGCGTATGGGGACTTTGATATTTCAGGAGGCAGTGCTCGCATTTCGACAGCGTGGAAGAGTGGCTTGCTGGGATCAGAATGGTTCTCAATCCTCTCGAGCCTGATAAAAGACCCGTTTGGCGCGCACAAGACATACTTGTCTTGGCCGACTTGTACCCACGCATATTGACTCATTGACCGAATGTGTTTCTCGCCTGAGGTGTCTTCAATGAGGTCATAGACGGAAGAATACTCGGTGAAGGAAATAGACATCGATTCTGGCGACGATCCAGCCGTGGACGTGTCTGAATAGGCTGCTTGGCGTCGGTGTGTCTCATCGTCCTTCCGCTCCTTCGAGGACTTTATGTCATCCATCGAGGCCCTCTCTAGCAACTCCCCTGGATCGAGCCCAAACAGAGTCGGCGTGGTAACGATGCCAGTCTCCAAGCTCGAAACCATGTCGATAATGTGACAGTTCGTCTTTCCAGCGTGCAGACGCATGCCCCTGCCTATCATCTGCACCAGCAAATTCCGGGAGCGCGTTGGCCGCGCCAGAACAATGCAGTCAATATTCGGAATGTCGGTTCCCTCGGTAAACACACCGCAGTTGACCAGCACGGGGAACTCTCCATTTCGGAAAGCCCGTAGAATCTCACTGCGCTCGGTAGTTGGCGTGTCTCCTGTAACAAACCTAGCATCTAGTCCAAACCGGCGGAATTTCTGGGTCAAGCCAGCAACATGAGCCAGATCGACGCAGAAGACAAGAGTTGACCTTCGACCCTGTGCCCTGGCGAGCCAGCTTCGCACGGTAATCTCGTTGATCTGGTCAGTATTCACGACGCGCGACAGCTCGCCAGCCTGGAAGTCCCCGTTGACGCCATTCTTCACCCGGGAGATGTCAGCAGTCGACTTGACAGTGGTGAAGACGACGTCGGAGAGCCACTTTTCTCCAATCATATCAACGTAGTCCTTGTGGTAGACAATTTGGTCGATGGCGGCGCCCAGTTTGAGGCCGTCGAAACGGGAGAAAGTGGCGGACACGCCGACCAACGCAGGAGAATGGGACTTCTTGGCGTCGAGGTCAAAGTGCTTGAGGATACGCATGTAGCCAGGAGCCACGATGTGGTGAGCCTCGTCGACCAGGACAAGCTTGAACCTGGCCGGATCGAATTTCTGAAGACGATCCTTGGAGGTGATGCTTTGCAAGCTGGCGATGGTGATATCAGCGATGCCCGAGGCATGTAAGGAGCCCATCTCGATGTCAATGGTTGCCTCGGGATAGGTGTTCTGGCAGTGGCGTGCGGCCTGTTCGACTAGCTCCCTACGATGAGCTATGATGAGCGTCTGAGTCGCTCGCTCAGATGTGGGTAGGACCCTTTGGATGAGCTGGGTGAAAATAACCTGCGTTGAGGTTAGTGATAGACATGCACATGGGGATGGATTCAAGACTCGCGGTCTTTCCACTGCCGGTGGCGAGGGAGACACCAAGCCTCTTCTGCCCTTCGTGCAAAGAGAGAAGAATCGACTGAATGCATTCTTCTTGATAGTCACGAAGCTGTACTTTGGAGCTCAGCAATCGAACAGGGAGAGCCTGAGGAAAGGCGCATCTAGTGATTGAGCGGACAGCGGTTCTCGGAATGCGTGTCACAGCTGAAGGCAGTGATAGCCGGGCAAAAACATGTGGGATCATGGCTCATTGTGATGGCCTCTCCTTGAATCCGCGAAACAGCCAAGAGGGTGATTGAGGTTATGGTACAAGGGGAAGGAAGAGTGACGTTCCAGGTTGGTCTCGACGCTGCCATCGCATCAGGAAAATGGTAAGAACGTGGTAGTGCCTCAGGAAGCGAAACAGCGCCGACGTGGGGGAAGGTGCAGGTGCGGTGTCTGCCGCAGCAGTTGACAACCGCTACGTTAAGGTGCCTGTTAAGGTGCCTGGAGACCATTCTAGGGCCATCTCACCGAGCCCACCCAAGGTAGGCAGGCACGTTCATGCCTCAGCGACCCGGGCCCAATGAGGAAGAGCAATTACGACAACAGTCGGCGGGCATTCGCAAAGCACAACCTTTCGCCTGGCTCATAACTAGGCCATTACACGCATCGAAGGCCTGTCGCTCAGTCTATCTGCGACTGACCACGTCCTGCCCTCCGTCAATGCCAGGGACACAGACATGCGCCAGAATGGATTCCGACTTTGCCTCTTACTCCAGCCTCAGTGGAAATGGTGCAGCATCGTCAGGTGAAGCTTCTCACCAGCCTTCAGGACCAGAGTCCCTATCGTCGCCGAAGCCACACGTAAATCCCCATGGCGATGGTTTTGGGACGGTCCGCGATGGCAGCAGCCCTCTCAAAAGGTCCGCAGAGCCTTCCGACGAGCAGCAGCCTTCCAAGCGCTACAAACCTGGCTTCAACCACGCCTACATGGATCTGCTGAACATCGACATTGAGGATGCCACGAATCGGGTTGTGCTTGAGAAACGGCCACTGCTCAAACCGAATCAAGTGGGCATGGTTACCTGGACAAGCTTGGAGAAGGATCTCTTCTATGAAGCGTTGGCGAGAGTGGGAAAGGACGACCTATCGGGCCTTGCATCGCGAGTCCGCACCAAGAGCGAACTCGAGATCCGACAATACCTCAAGCTCTTAGCGGACCAGCATGAGCAGATGCAGTCAGATCCCCATTATCGGTGGGAGGATCATCTCGAGAAGGCGGACTATCCGGCGGCCAAGGAACTGGGTGAGGCCTGTTGCGATGCACTCGAGGAAGTCGCTGATGACATGTTGCTCCGGATCGAGCGACACGAGCAAAAGACGGAGGAGAAGAAATGGGGGGACTACTGGCTCATTAATACCCCAATCGCAAAACTCATCGACGAGGACAGTGCCTTGGAGCATCCCCTGGACTTCGCTGAGCTCTTCAATCTCCAGTCTTGGCTGCGGCTCCCCAAGCGCGTGTACATGAACTCTTCGTGCGAGGGCGAGAACTGGCAGGACTTGAGTGACGAGGCGCCAGCCATACGCGCTACTGCACTGAAGGACTTTCATGCGCTCGCCGTCGCCGTCACTCGCAAGCTCGTCTTGTCTAGTCTATACACGTCACAGTCACGGATCAAGGCGAAGCAGGTCATTCAGCCAAACATACGAAAAGCCGTCAAGGTCAAGGACGTGGAGGGCGCGCTGGCCTCTGCGGGCATGAAGCGAGACTCGAGGCAATACTGGGCAACCTGCGCGCGGCGCCTAGGACTCCAGGTCCACGACACGCCTTTCGAGGACGGCGCGGGACTTGGCGTCGACAATGATGAGCCGCCTATGTCATATGCCGAAGTAGAGCAACAACTGCTCCCTTGTCCTGAGCCACCTGCTCAGCTTACGCCGCGGGTGGTCCGGCCGTGGAAGAAGACCAATGCGCACACTATCGATTTCGACTTCTCAGACACGTCGTCTGCCAATGAAGAGGACACAGATCAAGTCACCTCGTCATCGCCGTCGTCTGACGATGAAGACGAGGCTACCTTGGAGGACGAAGATGAAGAGCTCGCCGTCCATGACGAAGTCAACGAGGCCTTGCTGTACACTGTCAATGAGCTTCCCAAGACGCATCGCACGCAGGAGGCTGTTGAAATGCGTGTGCGTCTGGACCGCGAACAGGAAAGACATGCTGAGGCTATCGATGCGCAGGGTAACTACGAAGAAGAGAAAGCCATGTGGACGCTGGTGGGCAAATCACCCCCAGAGCCCCTGGTGAAGCCAGATCAGGCGAAGACGCCGCCCAAGTCGACGATGAGACTTGAAGAAGTCCATGATTCAGGAGCTCACTGGAGGAACAAGTTGGAATATGCGTCTGAGTGGGAAAAACACGGATTCTCAAAGCTCTCGGATTTTAAATTTTAAGTAGAGCACTGGCTTAAATACTGATACCCAATTCGTTTCTGATCTCGCCAATTTGATAAGTGCGTTGGAAGTATCGACCACTCCGTACCTTGCGTGAAGATATCTCGACGCCGTGCATCTCTGGTACGTAGGCAGTCTTCAGCGCAACAGGGGAGAGGATGGTCTGTGCATGACCTGCCACGGCGTCACCCCACGACCGAGCTGCAGCTTGCGCATCACCGGCTCTACTGTACGCGTCCCAACCGACTTCCATATGTCAATTACCGACGATCACGACTCAACGGCCACCGAAGGGGTCGAGATCTTAGCAGCGCCTTGGAGCCAGGTTCCAGCCGAAGCTGATAGGCCGTTGATCATTTGTCAGGCTGTTTCACTGCTTTGGCCTCACGCAGCTTGCTCCCAGAAAACCGTAGAGACCTTGACGACGAGACATAGCAGCATGCGTTTCTTGAAAGTAAAGATCGATTCCGACACCTGATCACTCACTGAATGGTCTACGTGTCTGCCACAGACCAAAGTTCAACATGGCCACTACGAACGGCCAGGTGTCTGAGCCTGTGAACGACGATGGCCGGAATAACGTCACCTCCCAGAAAGCTCGCGACATTCTGGAAGCTTGCAAGTGGAGGAACACGGCAGCTCTCCAGGCGCTGGCTGCCACGGATTGCGGCTTTATGACCGATGATCTCCGAAGGCAAGCATGTTAGTCGGCTGTCAAGACGTCGCCATCTGTCACCGGCTCCTTTCCGCTAACAAAGCTTTCGGGCAGGGCCGGTCCTTTTAGGAGTGCCTTTCGAGAAGGATGACCTCGATGATGCAAGAAAACCGCAGACGGGTGGTGATTGGAAAGAGCTGCCACGGCACAGAGACGAGGACCAGGTCCAGCTGGACGTTAATCGATCATTCATTTACTATCCCAATAGTCTGTCGTCCACCCGATTTAGGTTGACAGTGTGCTGACAACAAGGGCACCTTAGACCAGACCGAAGCTGAACTCGATCACCGCAAACGAGAGCTCTCCGACCTCATCACCGAAGTCCTCCGCCGCTACCCATACCTCTGCTACTTCCAAGGCTATCACGACATCTGTCAGGTCTTCCTGCTCGTCCTCTCGGCGCCGCTACGCGCCCCTTCGCTCGCGCGCCTCTCCGCCCTCCGCATCCGCGACTTCATGCTGACGAGCCTCGACCCGACCGTCGACCAGCTCCGCCTGATTCCCGACATTCTCGCCGCCGCCGACCCCTCCCTCAAACACTACCTCGCCGGCACGGAGCCCTTCTACGCCCTCGCCGGCACCCTCACAATGTACGCCCACGACATCCAGGCCTACGGTGACATCGCCCGCCTCTTCGACGTCCTCCTCGCCCGCGAGCCCGTCTTCAGCGTCTACATGTTCGCCAGCATCGTGCTGTCGCGCCGCGACGAACTTGTCGAGCTCGCCCAGGACCCGGACAACGACCCGGCGCTCCTCCACCTCGCCCTCTCCAAGGTGCCCCAGCACATGGACCTCGAGCGCCTCATCGCCGACACGTCCGCCCTCTTCGCCGCCCACCCGCCGAGCTCCCTCCCTGCGTGGCGCCGCCGCATATCGGAGGCGAGCTGCCTCAAGACGGCGCGCGACCTCGACGCGTGCACCCGCCAGACGATGCAGGATGGCGAGGCCTTGTTCCACCGCCAGCTGGACGAGCTGCGCGCCGCCGAGCGCAGGAAGAAGATCCTCGCCACGCTGTGGGCCTATCGCCGCGGCGCCGGCGCTGTGGGTGTCGCGGTGCTGGTCGGTCTGGCGGCGGTCTATCTGCGGAGGACGACGGCGGGGAGCGGTCCGCTGGGCGTCATCGGGACGTTCGTCACGCGGTGGGCGAACAGCACGGCTTGGACGTACAAATTCTAGCATCAAGATGAAACCAGGAAAAAAAAAACGAAAATAAAATGAACAACATGAGATCCATTTTTTCAGCGCGTGATTTACATCAAGGGTTTTTCATGTTTCGTATGGCTCGAGTGCCCGCATGCTCCTTCCCTAGGAAACTCATGCATACGTACGTGGCCACCATGCTGAGAAGAGCTCGTCCCCAAGAACCGCGTGCGACTCGATACCCTTGCTCCATGCCGTCGAATCCAGAACGCCATCGCCTCATATATAAACAACATCAGCAACAACAGCTTGCCAAGCCGTACCGGGCCAAGCACTACCGTATCACGCGCCCTCCTGGAACGCAGCCTTCAAGCCTTCGAAGTGCTCCTGTTGCTCCACCGCCAGCTTGCCGCTGACGTCGCTGATGATGGTGAGGATCAGCGAGTAGTTATTGTACAGGAACCTCTCGCGCTTGCGCTTGTCAGTGCCGAATGCCTGGCTGTGCCTGGTCAGGAATGCCTCTAGCTCTGAGCGCAGCCGGTTGAGGCTCGTGACGACAGGCTCATCGTCTCCAGCCTCGGTACTGAGGGAGAGAATGCCGTGAAGAAGCTGGCCGAAACGCTGCGTGATGAGATGAGGGGCTGCCGAAAGCTTGGCTTGCTCGCTAGCACGGGCGGCTCGGGCGGGGAGGGAGCCTGTCAGATGGCGGACCGATTCGCAGTGGTGGTCCATGACGACTTGCAGGCGCGGCCAGAGAAGCATGTTGGTGCCGTTGATGTAGCCGTCCACTGTGGGCACTTTACGGCGTTGCAGCTGGAACGCAAGATGCTGGTTGATTCGAATGCTGAGGAGGAGGCCCAGCGCGTCGAACGTCTCGCCTGCGAGGGTTCGAGAGTATGTCTGGCCGAGGGAGAACGTCGGGTCGAATATGTATCTGAAGTGCTTGGATACGGTGGCCATGGACAATGCTGGGTAGAAAAAGGTCGCCAAGAAGCTATACTCGGCCGTGGCATTGTCGATGAGCGCTAGGTTGAAATTTCGGAACGGTATTTCGAGGTAGTGTGTAGAGGCGTCCTCTTCAGCAAGGTAAGAAGAAACGGCCGTCTGATTGCTTGTCGTCAAAAGGTCGATTCGACGACCCAGATTGAAGGCGTCATGTGGCGGGCCGCTTGGCTTGGACCCTGACAGGACTGAGGCTTGACGTGTCGGAGTCTCCTGTCCCAGCACGTCGGCCTTATCTAGTACATGCAACTTCAACTTTTCCAAGGCTTTTTGGTAGTGTGTGAAGTGGTTGAGATAGTACCACCTCATAGTGTTCATGTAAGCCTGGCAAATCTCCTCGGCCAGCTTAGCATGGTGTCGATGCAAGAAGGCGTAGAGCTCCTTAAACTTGATGAAGTTCTGTTGTTGGATTATCTGTGCGTTGATGTGCGGCGACCTTAAAGCCTTGATCTGGGCGACGATGAAGTCTCGGATTCTCTCGACAGCCTTGAGAATGAGGTTCTCCAATAACGGCCCCATATCTGCCCACGCTTTGCTCTGCCGCGGGCTTGACGCATTATTCTTGTAAGCGGTTGCTCTCTTGTCAAGTTCTGCCAACATCTTGATCCATGTTTCGTCAATATGGCCCTCGGATATCTTGGACACGACGACTGGCGAGACACTCAGTTCCTCGACGACGGGCCCTAGGGCCTTCTCTACCGCCTTCCGGTTATCCAATCGAACGGTGAGTGTTGATGATCGTGACTGCAAAGATTCAATATCCGCAGCGACTGTGGCAAGGTCGTTTCGGAAGTTCGTGAGGTTGGATTCCACCGAGTCTAGCACGCCATCGCAAACTGCTATGGAGCGGTGCAGATCTTCGTATTTCGCCTTCTCCTTCTCATCTGTAGCCCACACGTTAGTCGTGGATGTTTTGTTTGAGATCGCAGGATCAAGGCTGCGCGCATACACTCTTCGACCGTCTGGCGGCGTGGCGGCCCGCCGCGACCCAGTCCAGCTTCATCAATATTGGCGACAGCCAAGTCGCGCAACGATAAGCCTTCGAAATCAGGTTCAAAATCGAGGTCGTTGAGAGAAATACTCGTCGATGAGGTCGCGGTCTCGGATGACCCATCGGCTTCTGTGGTACCCAGGATCCTGTTCAAGATGTCAATCGCATCGGGACCATCGTATGCGGTTTGGGATTGTTTCAAGCCGGAGCCATTCGTTTTGCGGGAAGATGCCAATAGGGAGGCCGATGAGTCGTTGGAGACTAAGGACAGGCTCGATCCGCGGGGCGTATTTCCTGGACGATGCGATGTGACATAGGGGCTGTATGCGCTGGATGTCCTCCTCGGAAGAGGAGAGTATGGTCGGCTCGCAGGTTGCGATGATGATGGCGATGGGCTTGTTTGACCAGCGACCGAGAGCCGATCTAGCCACATTGTGGCCTCGTGGATAATGTGTTTGCTATTGGGGTATAACAACGGCTATGGACAGTAGGGGCAAGCCTATGGCGAGCAACACAAGTGCATCTCGAGGTCGGCAGGCTTCGGTATCGTTATCGACCTTCAACTGGGCTGGCTGAGCTGTACGTGTCGGATACCTAAGTAAGGCAGGTCCCATACAAGCTGGAGCTCGGCAAGGCTGACTGGCCTCTGAAGGGACCCCTTTCTGATTGGCGTGCCATGCTGCAAGCCACAGTGAGCTGGAAGATCAGCAAAATGGCACGGACCCTCTCCACCGACTCGAGGTGTGGCGCGGTGCTTTCTGTCAATGGTCGTACAAGCTTCCATTGGGAAGGTGGGGGGTTACTGGGGCCAGACCAAGCACCAAGCACCAAGCACCAGGACTGAACACTGAACACTCGCACCTTGCACCCGCCTGCAGCACCACTCACTCGTTCACTCTTCGTGTGGTGATGGCGGCAGGGTGAAAGGGTAAGACCACGTCAAATCTGAAGCGTCTGGTCTGCCAGCTGGCAGGACAGACACGCTTTCTAACGGTCAAGCACAACTGCTTGCTACACATCAACTCGGCTTCTTTGCCGGCCAGAACACGCCGACTGGGGGAGCTTCCTTCTCCTTTTCCTCATTTATTAGCATCCCACACCGAGTGAATCCGACCTTGACCTTTTTGGCTTTGAAGCCTTTTGTTGACGAGGAGTGCGAGTGAAGGACGAAGCTGGAGCTTGAGTCCCGCCCCTCTTTCTTCACAGGCTGCGGTACAAATCCGTCTACAGGCGGTATGAATCACCCACCCTGAAGGACAGCTGATGGGGCGGGGTTGCTGCTTGTTCGTGCGGTACCTCAGTCCCATCGGCGGCAAACCGCACGAGAGAGGCTTCGGAGGGGCAGCTGCTTGGGATCCGCACAGCCTGACGTCCCATTCCAGGTCTAGGCCTGGCCGGGTGGGCGAAGAGGAAGGGGGCCCTGGGGAGGATAGCCTGTGTGTGTGTGTGGCCCGTCGTAGAGGCAAGCAGAGCCCAATAACAAATTCAGGGAAAAAAATTATATTCTCCCGCAGTGACTTCCTTTCCCCTCGATCCCCCTCCACTCGCATCTTCTTCCCTTCTTCATCCTCAAATCCCCCAGGACACCACCCGAGCTCCATTACCGCCGTCGAATTTCGTCGCATTCCTCCCTCTCTTTTTTTCTAGACAACCCCCCAAGTCAATCCTTCAAAATGGCCGACGACGCTGCTGTGAGTACCACCCCTCCCTTCCCCCTCTTCGTGGGCCGACAAGTCACTGTGCCCTGGGTTGTCTTGCGCGCGTGCTGCCGTGGGCTTGGACCGAATCCCACCCCGCATTGAGAAGAACCCCGCGACCCATCGACACAACCACAACACCGCCGCAAATCATCGTCTCGCTCGATCCCGTTTGCCCTCTGGCGCACTGGTTGAAGCATGGATGGGAAAATACAGTCATGGTCGCGTTGCGGGACTACTCGTGCATCGGGGCATCGCTGCATCTGCCTGTCCTCCGTGGCTGTCTTTTGGCCTTTCGGCCTTCCGGACTGAGGCTTCAGCTCAACGCAAACCCAGTCGCTAATCATGTCCTGCCTTGTGTGTAGCACGAGCTCGAGTTCGACACCGCCGATGCCGGTGCCTCGACCACCTACCCCATGCAGTGCTCTGCTCTGCGCAAGAACGGGTTCGTCGTCATCAAGGGCCGCCCTTGCAAGATCATCGACATGTCGACCTCCAAGACTGGCAAGCACGGCCACGCCAAGGTCCACATTGTCGCTACCGACATCTTCACCGGCAAGAAGCTCGAGGATCTCTCCCCCTCCACCCACAACATGGACGTCCCCAACGTCACCCGTCGCGAGTACCAGCTTGTAAGTTTGCCGTGCATACGAACCGGTCGGCCACATTGCATGACTAACACCGTTCGCCTCAGCTTGACATCTCCGACGACGACTTCCTCTCCCTCATGGCCGATGATGGCGACATGAAGGACGATGTCCGCATACCCGACGGCGAGATTGGTGACAAGATCAGGAAGCTCTTCCAGGAGGAGGAGAAGGACACCAGTAAGCCCTTCCCACGTCCTTTTTCGGTGAACAGAGCACAAGAGACTGACAAGGCATCCAGACGTCATTATCCTCACTGCCATGGGTGAGCAGTGCGCCATCGAGGCCAAGGAGGCTCCCCGCCAGTAAGCGTATGCATTACTATGACGGTGTGGACAGGCCAGCGCATCATGAACATGTTGTCTTGCGCTGACCGGCAGGATTGGTGACCTGAGGACGTAGTCCGGTGTTTCTTGGTCCACCGAATACCCACGGAATTACCCACGGGTCATTGCGTAGAAGGGATCTCTGGACAGGAACTGATGATGCCGGTGACATGGACTCGGCAACTGCAAAGCGCCACCGCATGACTTGATTTTCCTTTGTTCCCGTCAGCCTTTCGTATTCTTCACGATCAGCCAGCTCTGGGAAGGCGACACAAATTAAGCAGCAGCTTGCGGTGGCGACCGATCTTTTCCAAACAATCCAAATAGTTTCTCCGTGACAAAAACCAGTTCAAATCCACTCGATCGATGAGATGTGCCTGCATGTGATCCTGGACGCCTTATCAGAAATAGTAAGAAGCGATGCAATTTCTTCTTTGCGTTGTAGTCATTGACTTGAAATAAAAAAGTTAGTCAATGGGATTATGGTTCGTCCAGTTTTAAGGTGCTTCAGTGCTGATAATTTGAACCGGCCTGCACTAGATTTCTCCACCTGCCATCTCAAGATTAACGACAATAACAAGTAACATCGTTCGAAGGCACCACCTTTCGCAGCGGCGCATCAGGTCTAACCTCGTTATCTAGAAAATGATGCCTAGATAGAAAAAAAAGAGTCCGACGTTCGATGGAGCACTGCAGTTGATCCTGGGCGCGCAGGCACGAGCAAATTTCAACCAAGTTTTGCGTCGAAGCACAGTTGTGAGTGCAGCCAGATCTTGAACACGAGATGGACGCAGAGGACACACGGGAATTCCACAAGTTTCCCAAGGGGGAGCGCTGCGTGGAATGCGGCTCCAAGAAGTGGTACTGGGACGGAGGTCGACGGTACTGCCGCAGAGGCCACCAGGTTGAGGTAAGTACGCCTTCCGCATCCCGTCGAACCATGTCGCTCACCAAAAACAGGGTGTCGTGCAGTTCGAGTTTGGCGATGACGAGTACGGCGACACGGGCAAGGTCGCCCGCAAGGCCAAGGAGGTCCGTCAGCGCGAGAAGCAGAAGCTTGCCGGCAAGGCGGCGCGGGACCTCTATCTCGAGTGCGTGCAGCTTGTGCTGCGCCTCCAGGTCGACTGGCTCGTCAACGCGAAGGGCCACAAGGCCGAGCTCGAGACGGTTGTCCGAGATCTGTGGGACCTGCGACTGCGCGGAAGCCCCGCGGCGGCAACTGAGGAGCAGATGCTGCACGACTCGACGTCTGAGGCGGAGCTCTCCGTGTTCAGCTCCCAGCCGACGAGCGAGCAGGACGAGAGCGGTTCAACGCTTCCGCATCGCAAGAAGAGAGCGAAAAGCTGGGCTTCGGATGCGGGAGATGGCTGGCCAGCGCCGCGGCTGCCAGATACGCTGGCGCTTTGCTACCTGGGATGTCTGCTCCTGAGGGCGCCGACACGGATCGGTGACTTTGTTCGGTGGGCGAAGGGCGGTAATATCACGTACAAGCAGGCGGTAAGCAGCAACCGAACGCTTGACCTGGACAGCATGGGGCTGACTTTTATGACAGAGCCGCCAGATACCGCAGGAGATGTGGAACAGGTTACCAGCAACCCACCAGAAACAGTTTCAAGTGGCGGACCTGGCACGGTTTGACGACGGCGAGCTCCATTCATCTGTGATGAACCTGGCGCTCTCTTTTCACGCGAACTATGAAATGGTGTTTCCGCCCCTGAACGACGTTTTGATGACGCTTCAATATGTTAGGGAACTCGGTCTGCCAGGTTTGTCTGCTCACCTCTATCTTGTGACCAACGGCAACTGACACAAGCAAGTTGAAATTGTGTCTGTTGCGCGACGAATACCACCGATTATGACATTGGGATACTCGTTCCCGGTGGAGGCACCCAGAATCAGAGCGATACATCACCCTGAAATTCTACTGAGTTGCGTTATCGTCCTGGCAACGCAGTGGTGTTTTCCGTTTGAGCAAGTCTCCCTGCCGTCGCAAGACGACAACGTTCAGATTCCCAAACTAGATTGGGACAAGTGGCACGCAGTCATGTCACAAGCTGTGAAAGAGGCACGAGCAACATCCTCGACCGACTATCGGACCGCAACGGCGGCGGATATCACCTCCATGCCACCAGATGAACTGGACAAATATTTCACACATGTGGCGCTGCACATCGAAAGCAAAGGTATGAAGACGTTCGGACTCAAGTTCAAGACGACGAGCTGATTCATTTCACAGACGAAAACGCATTTTTGGCCGAATTCTTTCCCGTTGAAGAAGCTCGACCGAAAGCTGCTGAGCCAGAGGAGGCTGACGATGCACTCAACAAGAGGTTGCAAAAAGTCCAGATCGAGGCGGCCAGCTTCGACGAGGAGAAAGAGAGCCAGCCGACAGGCACGAATCTGCGATACTTCTCCTACAGAACATTAGGGGACTTACCGCCCCACGGGCGAGCATTTTACGACCGGGCAGCTCAGCTTGCAGGCCTGTCGACGGAGTCCCTACTCAAGGCTGTGAATATGCTGGAGTTGCAGATCAGGGCATGGCGGCGGAGGCAGAAGAAACAGGCGACCAACAGGGGCTCAATGGCAGCAACCGACGCCGCAGACGCAGCGTCTAGTGACGATGATCCGATCGATACGATCAATGAAGGACGTTGATAGTGAGACGCTGCAAAGACCCTCAAAAACATGTACAACTAATAATATTGAAAGATCAATTGGATGAGAAAAATAGCATCCCAGTCTCTCGTTCAGTTACTGTCGTCACCATGAGCCTGGTAAGATGCTCAAGTAGGTCATCAGGTAGCTCGCGCGTCAGAGCGACGTCTACTGGGATGCACAACATGACCCTCTTGTGAGGCATTCCCACAGGCTTTGGTGTCGCGTAGCATTCTCACCCGGTACTGATTTATTGCCCGCTGCTCCACCGTGGTGTGGTGTACTTGTGCACCTGCCGGCCCCCACATCCATGTGACCACCCGAACACTCTCGGGGCATCCAACCCTAAGATTTTTTCTCAATCGGCAAGACAGGCGTCCCCACCAATTGTTCGTGAGAGCCGCGCAGCAGTGAACTTCATCGTCAACATCAATCACTCGCGAAAACCGGCAAGAGTAAGTCAAGATGCGCCCTGCACGCTCGATGCACACATGACAGACCATCAAACAGAAATGCTGACAATTTTGTAGTGCAGATGTGAGTTTCCCCGATTCCCGACGACTGAACGACGCACAATACGGCTTCCAAGCGAGCCGCCACCCCCCCCTCCGAGATCGACGACAACTGACGACGATGCAACCAACAGTTTCGTCAAGACCCTGACGGGCAAGACCATCACCCTTGAGGTGGAGTCCTCCGACACCATTGACAATGTCAAGTCGAAGATCCAGGACAAGGAGGGCATCCCCCCCGACCAACAGCGCCTGATTTTCGCCGGCAAGCAGCTCGAGGATGGCCGCACTCTGTCCGACTACAACATCCAGAAGGTCAGTGAGAATGATGGGAATGCGAGGATGAGGGGTAGCTCTTTCGCTTTCTGAGCAAGCAGAAGGGGGGAAGAGATTCACGAGACAGGACATGATGGGGGAAACACCCACAGAAACGGATGCTAACACCTTCGAAGGAGTCCACCCTCCACCTGGTCCTCCGCCTCCGTGGTGGAATTATCGAGCCCTCGCTGAAGGCTCTTGCCTCCAAGTACAACTGCGACAAGCAGATCTGCCGCAAGTGCTACGTACGTTCCTCTCGCCAGCAACGACCCCACACGGCAGACCGTCATCTAACACGTAGCTCAGGCCCGTCTTCCTCCCCGTGCGACCAACTGCCGCAAGCGCTCGTGCGGTCACACCAACCAGCTCCGCCCCAAGAAGAAGCTCAAATAGACGACTCGCTCGTATGTCATGGATATGGCGTCTGGGATTGGTTTCGGCATTCTGGCAGGGGATGGGATGGTGCAGGGGGCCCGAGAGTGTCCTTGGGTCATCTGGCTTTGTGGAGGCCTGCGCTCGATGATAAGACGAATCGCAGCAAATTGAGCATGCCGTAAAATTCATGATGAACCGTTTTGTCGCAATTGTGAGGGTCTTGTGCACGTGTGAGCTGCCGAAGTGACCTCAAGTGTGTATAATCTAGAATGACGAAGCTGCCACTTGTACTATAACGCCATCGCTGCGGAATGATGACTGCTGGTTAGCTCGATGAGCGCTTTGCTTGGCTTCCATCTTGCGCGACCACTCGCGGCTAACCTATGACCTGTACCATCACGTTCATGTGTGTGTGTGTGTGTGCCTAGTGGAGCTCTCGTCATATTTCGCCTAGCTACATACATCCCTTTGACCCCACCTGTTATCTGCATTTCCAGATTACGACACCTTGCTCCTGAGCTCCAGGCCAGCTTCGACCTCTACCCGACTCGACAATCCCTTGCAACTACAGTCCCTACCCACGAAGCGCGCTCGCCACATTTGAAACGCGTGCAAGATTCGACAATGTCTGGCTCAGGATACGATGCGGTGGTCGATGTCGATGATGACGTGAGCTACCAACTCTTCGGGCCATGAGCTGCTCCAGTGCTAACTGTACATCCTAGGGCGACCTTGGCCATACCGACCTCCAGGACGACCTCGAATTCCACTCGTCCAACTTCAACGACACAAATACTGGTGGCCGCAAGTCGGCTCCATCAGCCGGTCTCCCTCCACCCGTGACAGCATCTTCATCCTCATCCAAGCGCTTCCTCTGGACGATCTCCTTCTACGCCCAGTTCTTCGACGTTGACACGTCTGCCGTGCTCTCCCGCTGCTGGGCTGCGCTGTACCCGCGCGCCAACTTCCTCGACGTCCTCGAGGGCAACCCCGATCTCTACGGGCCGTTCTGGATCGCTACGACTGTGGTCCTCATCCTCTTCCTCGGAGGCACCATCAGCGCGTACCTCGCCGACACGGGCGACCACCCTTTCGCCTACGACTTCAAGCTTCTGAGTGGTATGTAGACCTGAATGGCGCGGCTTGATGACACATCCAATGGCTAACAGACAATCCCAGGCGCCGCCGGACTTATCTACGGCTACACTCTCTTCATCCCCGTCGGCCTCTTCCTCGCCCTGCGGTACTTCGGCTCCGAGTCGGCCAACCTGCTCGAATGCTGGGCGCTCTATGGCTACTCCAACCTCATCTGGATACCCGTCGCCCTCATCAGCTGGTCGCCCATTACCATACTCAACTGGGTCTTCGTGGCGGTCGGTTTCGGCCTCTCAGTCGCCTTCTTGCTGCGCAACCTCTACCCGGTGCTCAGCGCCACCGACCGCCAGACGAGCAAGATTCTGCTCATCGTCGTTGTCGCCCTGCACCTGGGCCTGTCGCTGACCATCAAGATCCTGTTCTTCGCGCACGGGAGCCCGGTCGCAAGCCCTCCCAAGGGAGACGACAAGGGCGGCGCGGCCATGTTCCTTTTCTAAAGCGGGGCGGTCAAGGAAACGGGCAGGATGGATTTGAATTATGTGTGGGCGCCGGCTGCGCGGTCTGGCTAGAGGCCTTGTGTACTGTGTACAGTATTAGAATCTATGATGCTTCCACACGCTCCTGGGAGGGACGATGTGCTACCCACAATTGAGTGATTGACGCCTCGTAAACCTGTCCATCGTGGCGACAATGTCCACGCAGAGCATCAATACTGCGACTTGCGAGCCCTTCGTCCCAATACAGACCATATCGCGTGACACATTGCCCGAATCTCCTCCTACCCGTGGGAAACATACGGGTGCAGTACTATACATCAAGCTTTGCCCGAAGCATCAGCCAGCGCCAAACCCAACATCGAACACTCCTCCCACCATCAGCAGTAGCAGCAGCAGCAGCAGCGCGCACGAAACGGAAACGGACAGAAAGCCGCCTCACGGGTCCCGCGGCTTCTGCGCCCGGCCCCCGTTCTTCTCCCAGTCGAGCCAGCTGCCGGGGTACTCCCCGACGCCGGTCCAGCCCGCCTCGGCGGCCAGCGCGGCCGCGGCACGGCTGCGCACGCCGGCCTTGCAGTAGAAGACGAGCTCGCTGTTCTTGGCCGGCCGCTCGAAGCCGAAGCGGTCCTCGAACTCCTCGGCCGTCACGTGGAAGCTCTCGGGGTGCGTCGTGATGGGGATGTTGATCGCGCCGGGGATGTGGCCCGTCTGGCGGACCTCGCCGGGCTCGCGCGTGTCTGTCGATTTCTCTGCGTTAGCCCGCTGATATGGTTCCTTGTTTCTCCAGATCGGTGTGCATGGGTGTGTGTAGGCCAGGCTCAGGCACCTGAGGACATATACTGGAGCACGGGGAGACGAAGGAGGAGGGGGGGGGAGGCAGCAAACGTACCGACGATGATGATGTCGGACTTGTTGCTGTCGACGGCGCGTTCCAGCTGGTCAAAAGTCCAGAGCTTGGTACCGCGGGCCGACGTTTCGTGGTATTCCTCGTCAGACGCCGTCGACGACGAGCTGGAGTACAGCCTGAAGCGAGGATGCGTCGCCGGGCGGACGGCGAGACGAGTCTGGAAGGCGGGTGTCGTGGTGGTGCTGCGCAGGCAATTGGCGTGTGATGCCGTGTTGGCGACGCATGGCCGCGCCGAACGGACGAGAGCTGTGCGGAGAAGCTGGGCGCTTTGGCGAGAGGTGGCCATGGCGAATTTGCAATTTTGGAATGCGACTAGGTTGAGATGTACAGGACTCAAGTAGTGGCAGGTTCAAGTCTATTGTTGTTGGAGGGTGTTGAGCTCTGTCTGACGATCGGTCAAGGTCAATTCCGAGGCTCAGAGCCGGAAGCTCGAGAGGACCCGCTTTTGGCAGTTTCGTCATTGACGAGCGCATTTGAACGCATTTGGCTTACATGACTACAAACGCCGTGTAGGCAGCTCACTCGCGCCAGGCGACACATTCAACGATTATTCTTTTAACTCTCATTCTCATTAACGACCTCATGCTGGATGCTCGCTCATCTACCCCAAAGTGTCATACCCTGGCCTAAATAATCCTGGCTCGCCCTCCCCAGCGGCCTTCGCCAGGAGCGACGGAACCCCCGGGCTGCAGTGAAAAGGGATATAAGCCCAGAAGAGAAGAAGGAAATGTATATACACGGAAATAGTGATTACAATTAGTGAAGAGCGTCCCCGTCATAGAATGGTCGTGTCTTTCAAGCCCCAGGGCCACGCGACCGGATAAGAGTGGCGCTCCTGTTGTCGACCACTAGCAGTGGTTCAAGCTTGATCGTCTCACCAGTCATTGTGCACCGTCAGGCTGATCCGTCATCCTGAATCTTGGGCACCACTTGCCGGGTTTCGATTGGCGAAGGGCGTTCAGCCGCATCGTGGAGGTAGATCTGACAATCCAACCTCCCGTCTTACGCCGCAACACGCTCCTTGAACGTCAGAGGACAATCATCCTAAAGGGCAAAAAAAAGTCAGTTCTGCCGCTTCCAAACGCTTCTCTACTTTTTCATCGTAGACGTACCTTGGGGAAGATGGTGGCAAACACCTTGATCTCCTCGGACAGGGGGGTGGGGTGATGCGTCCACTCCAGCTGGAGCGCGGCCTTTCCGATCATCAACGCCAGGTTCAGCTGCACGTACACCTGACCGATGCAGTAGTGGGGACCTGTGCCGAAGACAAGGAAGTTCTTGGAGCCCTTGGCCTCAGCGTCGCCCGTGTAGTAGCGCTCGGGGTCGAATTCGTCGGGCCTCTCGTACACCTCGGGGTCGCGGAGCGCGGGCCATACAGACGGGATGATCATGGAGCCTGGATACTATCAGCAACTGGCACGACGTCAAACGATCATGGACAAACTCACCCTTGGGCACGGTGTACTCGGGAGTGACGGGGAAGGCCTTCTTGGCGACGTAGGGAACCATGATGACGGGAGGGCGGTAGCGAAGAAGCTCACGGACGACGGCACGGGTGTACTTGAGCGACTCCAGCTGCTCCAGGTTCAGCTCGGCGTGGATGTCGCCGTTGCGGACCTTCAGGTTCTCCTCGCGGATACGGTCAAGGATATCAGGGCGCTGGGCCATGATCTGGAAGAGCCACGTCGCGGCACTGCTGGTGGCGTCCTGAGAGGCGAAGAGGAAGGTGAAGATGGTCTTGGCGATCTCGTCGTCGCTGAATTCACGGAGGTAGGGCATGGGCTTGGTCAGACCCTCGGCCTGGCCAGCAGCCTCGGCGTCGCGGTACTTCTTGGACTCCTGGATAGCCTTGACCCAGCCGTCGATGAGCGAGTTGACTTCGCCGCCGGCAGCCATGCGAACCTTGCTCTTGGCGGAGCACTTGGCGAACTCGGCCAGGACCATGTCGGCGGCCTTCTTTCCGTACCAGGTGCGGGTGTACGGAATGATGACAGGGAAGTTGACAAGCTCGAGGGCGGCAGTGATGAGGTAGTAGTCGTTGGCGATCTTGTCGACAGCATCGTCGGAAATGTAGTAGCCAACAAAGGTGCGCAGAGAGACGGCGCACATGAGATTACGCAGCTCAGGCATAAAGGGGACAGGCTTGCCGCCAGCGTCCTTGGTGACCTTGAGGAAGCGGGCGAAGTAGTCGCGGTAAACGCCCTCCTGGCCAGGAAGGTACGAGTCGAGGGCCTGGCGAGTGAAGAGCTGGTTCAACCCCTTGCGGAAGTCCACGTGAGCCTTGCCGTCGAGAAAGACCCAGTTGTCATGTCCCAGGAGCTTGGGGGCGACGTCGACGACGCAGGGGGCAACATAGGAAGGCGAGTTGAAGATCTTGCGCGATAGATCACGGGTGGAAGCAATGACAACAAATCTGCAACAGAGGCAAACAGTCAGTGTTTTGTCACGAGAAGAGGATGCCGGTAGAAAGACGCAGACTGACTTGTGGAAGACGGAGACACAGCTCAGGGGACCGCTTGCCCACTTGGCCTGGTACTCCCAGAACTTGGGGTCCATGGAGGACAGGAAGGGGCCCATGAAGGGAATCTTCCATGCTGGGCCGACGATGGAGCCCTTACGAACGATGTAGCCAACTACAAAAAAGCATTGGTCAGTCGAAAAGCTTCCCGGTAGGCAGTTGTGACTGCACGGCAACGACGATGCGGCAGGCGAGACATACTCTGATCGTACGCGACCAGGAGAGCGAGAACAGTGAAGACGATGGTCCAGACGCTGGCGTTGGAGACGGCCTCGATCACGCTGTCCACCTGAGGTGGGATGGAGACGCTGGCAAACTTTGCGTTCGCCAGAACGGAAGTGAAGGTCGTGTTGGCGTCCATGGCTGTGGGCTGTTGCGAACTCGAAGGCTTTCTTTTCGGCGAAGCTGCTGAAGCGGCTTGCTTTGGTCGTTCGAGGTTGAGGTTGAGCAAAGGACGGCGCGAGCTCTCTCTTTCTCTCTCTTTCTCTCTCTCTCTCTCTCCCACACTCTTTTTCTCTCTTTCTCTCTGGGCGCGACGAGTTGCGCGAGGGCAGATATTCAACCAGAAGCGAGGCGCTGAGGTTCAAAGGCACACACACGAAGGTATCGTCGTGTGTTCTACACGCGCAACTGTGCAATGGGATTGCGGAAAGGAATGCGAAGGGGGGTGGGGTGGAGGAGACGGCACCGGGGGGGGGGGGGGGAGGGGGCGGCGTTCAATGTTATCAGTTTTCCTAGGAGGGACGACCTCACATGGAAGTCAAGGCAAGTGGAAATGCAGACTTCTCGGAGCAGTCGCGACCCTACTGGGCACCACCGTCCACATTGACTCAAACAGGCCTCACATTGTGCACACAGGGTCTGGCTTGGTCTAGGTACCTACCCAGCTAATGTAAGGTACCTTAGGTACCTAGGTAGGTAGGTAAGGTAGGTAGGTAAGTAGGTAAGGTACCTAGGTAGGTACCTAGGTAGGTAGGTAGGTACCCAGGTAGCCTGGGTGATCACTGTTCAGCCAACAGCACTTGGGTGGTGGCAGGCGGGAAACAAGGTGATGTAGTCATTATTCAGCACGACGAAAACACTGCAATCAGGGCGGGAGCACGGGTCTCCACGACTTAGATACCCGTCTTTCCACCGAGGATGGGGTAAGGTTGCAGCGTTGCAGCGGATGCTGCGGGTGGGGGAACGGACACAGTCGAAATTACCAGGTGCTCGATTGCGCAACGGACCAACAGGGCTGGCTCGGCGCGCTGTCAATTTTTTTTTTGTTGGGTGCACCCTAAGCGGCAGGCTGTGATGTAGCACGAGCCCGCGCACGAGCCAGCCTTCAGGGATGGCCGGGCGACAAGGGACAAGGAGGAGAGCGCGGACCACTGTGGCCCTGCGATTCCTACCTGCCAAGCGGACAGACGACAGGGTCCCGGGAAGCTAAATTACCACGCCATCTCGTCCAATCTTGTCCGATGTCATTGGCCGATCATTCGAGGTGGTGCGAATTTGGTGCTGAGGTGCAGTTGCTACTCAGTATTTTTTTCCCACCCCATCCGCCGCGCCGCAATTCACACGGTGGAGAAATTATGTCTGTCTGATTGTGTCTCAGTCCCTTGCTTCCATCAGTTACTACCTACCTTCCCTACCTAGATACCTTAGGTAGGTGAGGTGTGTATGGAAGCAGCAATAGCAGTCGCAAATAGCAAGCATCAGACAGTGCAGCATGTGCGTCGTTGTCAACAAGCATTGTTCGATTTGCCTTGCCCATTGATGTCATTTGACTTGATACAGAGTTCACCGCGGCTCGCTTCGTCCGCCTTAGTACGACGTCAGTCACTTGACTAGGTAGCTACATGTACGGCATGAACGGGTAGGGATAAGGGGGGGTGGGAGGGGCATGGCGGGCTCTCATGCCCACGAGGCACGTCATGGATCTGGTCAGATTTGCACATGTCGCATCCGCCAGAGGAACGAACAACTTGTACAAGACCAAGAACAGTCAGTCATTTGTTCATCTTGTGCACGACCCGTCGATGCCGCCGCTTGAGATTGGAGCTCCCCCATTCGCCAATCACGCTTTCCTTCTCCCACACCGCCTGCCATCCAGCATACGAATACGAAAGAGTGGGACCTCCGGACCGTCCGGACAACGACGAGACGCCGTCTCGGCGTCAGAGACATTCTCGACTGCCTGGCTTGCCTGGGTTGCTTTTGGCCTGGCTGTGCCGGACTCACTCGGGTCTCGGGCTCGAATGCGAAAATAACGGGACCAGTCGCATTCGTCGTCTTCCTACAGCCCCGACCTGCCTTCCCAACACAGTAACGTTCGGTGGGCGGCTGATTTTTCGATTTCCCTTTTCCTTGTTCGTAGAGGGCAAACACGCACTGCACAGCACAGGAAGGGTATCATATTGGTCTAATCTTGGCTCGACGCTCCGTCGTCTTCTTGTGATGCCGAGTGCCGGGAGTACCGGGTTTCAGTACCGTCTCCCGTTTGACTTCGGTATTTTACTCACATGGTCATAAATAACCCTTGTCACATCGCCTCGGCGTCAGTGTGCATGTCAGTTCATCCGAAAAACACAAGACTCCAACAGGTGACGCTGCTTAAAAGCTATCATTCAAGACGTCATCGTTCATCTTGACCATGGTGGGGCTGTATTCGGAGCTGTCGGGCTCAGCGCCGGCCGTCATCAAGATGTCGTCTACAATTCGCTTGCTAGCCTCCCGTGCTGAACGCAAAGACAAATAAATGCAATCAGCTGGCGTAAAACCACAAGTCATGGGACCAAAACAAAACATACCGGGTGTCTGCAACAATTTGGACGGCGGCAGTGCAAACTGAATCGTCTTGGGTGGGCTCATGCCACCGAAAGCACCCTCGTCGCTGTCGCTATCCCAGTCGATCTCGTACTTCTGCCTTGTCACGGGAGCCTCGGTCGTAGTCGTCGTGTCGTCGTCGTGGGGAAAAAAGTCTTTTATGCGCCGCGTCGAAGCAGGCGTTTGCACGCTGACGCCTGGCGTTCTAGGTCCGGCCGTCGCGGCGGCAAGTCGCTGGCGTGCCGCTGACTTGATGGGGGACATGAAAGCCTCGCTCCGCAGCTTTGGCGCTTCCATGACGGGCGACGACATGGGCGAGTCCTGCCATGACGGGATGTTTTCCTTGCCCTTGCTCTTGCTTTGGCCTTCGTCTTCCTTTTTGAGCGGCGAGATGCGGTATTGGGTTCCCTTGTGCGGCGTCGCCTGGAGCCTGTAGGTTTTGTCGAGCATGCGATGGAGCAGCGGGTCCTTATTTCCTCGTTGGATTGACTGCTGGGGCTGGGGGAGTAGCGAGCGCGGCGTCATGGACATGTCGGGCAGACGAGCAGTGTGCTGCGCAAAGAGCACAGTGGAGTCTTCTTCTTCAAGCTCGTCACCATCGTCCTCGGCATCGGGCGCCGGCGGTTCACCCTTGAGCTCACGCTTCAGGGCTTCATACGGCGATTCGAGGTTGGAGTAGTTGGCCTTGACGGTCCTGGTCGATGGGGCCCGCGGAGTGCTACCCGTAAGCTCGTCGTCGTTCAGGAGCGAAACATCCGTCTGGAAAGTCGACTCGCCGGCTGGCGTGTTCAGCGTCATGTCATCTCGACCGCCGGTGCGGGGCGTGTTGTAGACGCCCGTCAGGTCCTCTTGTACCGTCGTCTCTTCGGCGTTCGTGGTATCGTCTTCGTCGTTCGCGAGCTCTTCGTAGCCCGAGAGCGACACGTTGGCTGATGCTTCGAAGAATTGCTTCCAGAACTTGGATGCCTCCCAGACATCCTTGGAGTGCTCGCCGTAGGATTCGACGACGGGTAGGATGCTCGCCGTGACGATGCGGTGCGCCTTGCTGAAATTGTGGTCGATTTCTGCCCTTGTCAGCGCCAGTTGGCCGTGTGAGGCGGGGTGTCACTACCTTGAAGTGTCAATGTAATCGACTGCTCCAGCTTCTCCAGCTCCTCCGTCAATGTCAGATTGCGAGGTGCCGCGCTTGGTCGTGACATGTTTGGTGGCGATGAAGTTTCGTGGCTGTTTCTGTTGGTTTCTCGGTGTGTGCGGTGGTGTTTGTTGTTGATGCATGTTGGAACTGGATGTAACCAGACGCGATGCGGGGCAGCTCTCAGCAGCGCATCAGCAATCGCGGGGCATCTAAGCCCCTGACAGGCCCCTGACCCCTGAACGCTCTCATTGAACGTTGCTATCCTGATCAGGGTCCGAAATTCACATGACGTATCATATGATACTGCCTTTTTTTTTTTTTTTTTTTTTTATTTCAACACAATTCATTCATATATATCGGTATTGCTTGGGTATCTTTAAAAATGTCACTACGTCTTCGAGTAGTAGTCAAACATGTCCAGCTTCAGCAAGAGCTGAGCAATAGGACTCTCTTCGGTGACGCCATCCCCCGTCACTTCTTCCACTGTTGTGCCACGTGCAGTCTGGCGACGCCGATTTGCATCCTTCTCTGCCATTCCCCTGCAAACAGTAAGAAAGACCTCGACGTTCTTCCTGAATGTTTGATATAACGAGACGGCGCGAGAATTATCTGCGACCGCCCACGTCCCCCGGGCCTGGAGTCGCGCATACTTGGCGAAGCGCAGTATGGTGCGAAAGATATCGTCCAGTAATTTGGCTACTGGTTGTTGTCGCTTGCGCAGCAACAATGCAGACAGTATCCTCTCAAGGACACGCGAATGATGTTCTCGGAGGCGGTCAGGGCTCAGGACGGTATCCGTTGTGTCCTCTTCCTGGCGGCTCAGTTGCGCTTCGACCCTGTCCAACTTCTCCTCGAAGTCCTGCCACGGCAGCTCAATGCCAACGTCAAAAAAGTAGCTGCTGACGGTGAAAATGAAGTGGCGGGCCTCGAAACAAAACCGAGTAGAGATATCGTCCGGGTTCTCCCAACCTGATTCCCTCATTGTGATGTCGCGAAACAGACGGTCCACAGTGTAGAGCATGCGTAGGATGCGAAGCAGCGACTTGAAGATGCGATCATACTGCACTAGAATGACTGGCGTAATTACCGGGGTCAGGGCGGCGGGAGTCTTGTAGGCCAGCCGCAAAAAGTCGAGTGCCTCGAGCCCATCGGGATCCATACACTTTTCGATCTCCTCGCTTGACAGATCACGGACACCAAAGCTCAGGTCGCCTGGAAGGTCTGCAGACTCAGCGGCACGTCTAGTCGGCACTGCGCCCAGGGGCTCGTAGCTTTCGACCAGGATTCCCATTAGGGCGAGACGAAGCTCTGAGCTTGCCGGTGGCCATGTGTCTCTGCCGCTCAACCGTAAGCCCATGACGCCGCCTTGTCGAGCAACACCCGCCTCACGCTCTGCTGTCTCCATGTCAGGGTCGAATAGAGCATGTGATAGCCGACTACAGAATGATCCGCCTCTGCAGAGATGGAAGTCACGCTGGACTTTAAGATGTGCCCTCAAGTTGTGAGCGTTGAACAACAATTTGAGGCTTTCTTTGCCGATAATTCGAGCTTGAGTCGCTATGATGGGGCCAAAAGATAAAACTGGCAGCAGCGACCAGTGTGGCGTGAATTCAAGCCCAAGCGTGTCTTTTGTCCCTGGCTCCTTAGCTGCCAAACAGGCCTTGAGAACCGTGGCCAGCGGGTCCTCTGCTGGAACCGCCTTTTGTAGTTGCGCAAGGTTGTCCATTGAATCGAGAAGCCGACTTCGCAGCTCTTCCTCGTTTGTGCTGAACATTTGAAGCTGATAGCCCCCAACATTGCTGGTTGGCATGGTAGTCACAGCGTCATCTCGTACTGTGCGACTGCGTGATTGAATCTTGATCGCGTGGATCAGAGCATCCTCATAGGAGCGGACTGCTCGATCCAGCTGGTAGATGGATTGCCAGTCAAAGTGCCATTTGATCGGGGGCGCTTCGATCGACGCCGCCGTCGCTGACAAGAGCGGGTGGCTGGAGTGATTCGACTTGATGAAGCGAAGGTTCCGTCCTGTTTCAAACAGGCTCTGAACGACATCTTTCGGCATGAACGAAGGCATTCTCGCCAAGTCCAGGCGAAAATCCAGTTCCTTAACTTCGTCTCCGAAATCGTCAACGTAGGATTCTGCTTCTACCTTGATGAAGCCCTTCTGCCGACCAGCGTCATGCTTGCTGAGGGGCACCCCGAGCTCTGCATATGTACCGATCCATTCCCCGAGGAACTCCAACCAAGGTCGACCCACGCTCTGGAGGACCTCTCGCATAATCGCTCCAAGGTGGCTATCACTGTATTCAGCAGCTTGGGCTTGCTGGAAGACAAGAGTGAGAACGTCTTCATCGAGGTGATCGCGCCGAATCTTGGAAATTAGCGATTTGAAATACAGAAGGATCGAAGAGACCCGACGTATGAGAAATTGCAACTGCAATAATGATCGTGGTTTTTGCCCTGTGACCGACAGGTGACTCTGTATGACGAGAAGAATTCTGTCCAGAGCACTCGCCAATGCCACCCGGCAGGGACTTGGGTTTTTTGCGTACGTGTCATCGACGAATGCACGAAGCTCTCGTGAGCCGTTGCCACAGTCACGACAGGCGCTGGAGACTCCTTCGAGCACCAGAGCCGAGTACCCCGATATCCTGATCTTTGCGAGAAGTGGCTTGAAGGAGCGAGATTCAGCCTGCCACACAAAGAAGACGGATTCCCTGCCCAGGGCTAGAGACATTAGGGCGCTGCAGTATGCCTCAGCGTCCACTGTGGCGTGGTCATTGCTCTGAAGTCGGAGGGGATCTCCTTCAACTTCAAGCAGACTGTCAAAAGCCCCAGGTCCAGCCTCCGTAATGAACATGGGTAGCTTGCGCTCAGCACCTGGGGTATCGAATGCATCCCATGTCTTATGTTCGGGTGCTCGCCGTGGTGGCTTTTTCAAGTCGAGCCATATATCCTCGTATCTATCGTTTCCGACGTCCTGGCGCGTGCTCTGTACTTCTGGCACCTTTTCCACCTCCGACAAGAGAGTCTCAACTACAGGCACGGGATCATCATCGTTATTTTGGTCCAAAGCGGGGATTGCAATCAATGTTTTGGTTTCGATTGGCTGCAATTGGAATACGGTCGGCAGATCTGTGCTCAAAGATGCGTGTCAGTCGAGTCCTCTTGCAGTAGACGGTATACACACCATCGATGTTGTACGTGAAGAACCGCCTGCTCGCCTCGGGTATGCCGTTGTCCAGAAGTTTGGACGCGCGCCAGAAATCAGGGATGGCGAAGACGTTGCCAGCATCGTCCTCATCAGTCATGGTGGAAGGAGCACTCAGATGGACTTCATCTGCAGTTGATCCCCTACGAGCTGCATGCTCAAGGTACTTCCACCGATGGGAAATGAATGTGATGATATCAGTGTCGTGCCCAGCCGAGTTTCGCTCGACAGTTTGGCGTGAGGAGGCGTGCGGTACTCTTGGGCGATGCTGCAGTGGCCAGAACCTTGCCCCGCGACGCGCGCTGACGTTCAGAGTCGCGTCAAATCGTTACTTGCTTTTAGGGGCCTAGGTGACTGATCATTGGCGGGCGCATCGCCAATGAGTGGGTCGGCGATCCAAGAAACCGTCGCAAGCTGCCAGAGCTTCAATCCACCCATCTTCATGCCATGTCAACACTGCCAATTCACAGTCCCTAGCTGCCTCCGCCCTACATCTCCTACAGAAGACACGCACGAGCCAGAAGCAGCTTACAGGAGTTTTTTGTTTTCGACTTGTAACCGCCAGTTCCCATCTCCAGCCATAACCGCTGAAGATGCCGCCGAAAAAAAGGGCCCGAGGCAGCACCGTCGCAACGCCGACACCAGCTCGAGATGACGATGCAATGGATGTCGATACACCTCAATTCGCCGATACGCCGACAGCACCATCCAAAGAACCTGCCGTCTCGGACGAGGAGTGGCCCAACAACGCCTGGACGGACGACCAAGTCTGCTCCCTGTTCAAAGGCGTCGTCAGATGGAAGCCAGCAGGTAAACTCTTTCCCGCCCAACATCTGCCCCTTGCAGCTGACTTGTTGCTAACCAGAATTCATCATCACAGGCATGCATAAACACTTCCGCATGATCGCAATCAGTGAGCACCTTCGGCACCACGCCATTGACCCAGCGGTCCATACCCATACCCGGATTCCACACATCTGGACGAAGCTGCGCACCTTCTACAACCTGGAGGCGATCGACTTGCGGGAAGACTTCTTCGATTCCCAGGAAGATGAGGACTACGAAGATCGGTTTCGAGAGTTCACGCTACCGGTTGGTGACTTCGAGGAGCACATGATGACACGCGTGCGTGCGCCTAGCGAAGCGCCCTCATCACCCCCCCAATTCGACCCAGAGAACCCTGCAGCCGGGGAGGCCGTGCCGACGCCGACGTCCGCGCTCTCGTCACCTGAACCAGAGAAGGGCGTCAAAAAGCGAAAACGAGCGTCGACGGCTGCGTCGAAGACCCGGGCGAGCACTGTCGATGATACGGAAGACGAAAAAGACACGGCCTCACCGGCCCCCAAGAACGCAAGGACCTCGAGGAGCCAGAAGAGGGCGGCAGGCAAGGCGAAAGCCCGCAAGGCTGAGTCTACGGAGCCAGAGGAGGAAGAAGAGGAGGAGGAGGATGAGGACGGCGATGAGGAGGAAGAAGATGACGGGGACGACAGCGGCTCGCAAGACGGGGAGGAGGAAGAGACGAGTGCCGAAGCCAGCGCTGCGGAGAGCGAGGCACCTTCAAGGTCGACAAGGGGAGGTGGTCGCGGCCGGGGAAGAGGCAGAGGCGGCCGAGGTCGTGGCCGTGGCCGTGGTCGGGGATAACCGGAGCCGACGATCCTGACTGCTTGCGGACGAAAGAAAGACGACGCGATTCGGAGATCAGGCCTGCTCCGCATCACCCACAAAGATACCCAGGTTTACCAGTTTACCCACGGAGCGCCGCATGAGTCGGATCGAAACACCTTTGCAGTTTGGGGCCCCTGAATAGATGCTTGCTGCAATGGCCCACGTCATGCAAGGGCCGAGCTAACAGA